TTCACAATTATCCCTAGTTTTGACAGCTGCTATAAACCTCAAAATATTATTTACAAATTACACATGGCCTGGTCTCCAAATTAAAAAGTAATTATTAATAATTCTATTTTAAGTAAAAAATAGCGCTAATTGAAGGCAGATACGACGTTTAAATTCAAATGTGTGGCAGATCAATCAATATATTGAAAGTGGGCATGATTCTTTTAATTTTAGTTCTTTGTTAGTTATTAAGCTTCGGTAATGCTGGTTACAAAGCTTAGAGAAAAATCTCCATCATTTTAATTCAACTAGCGGAACTCATAGTTTCCTACGCTTATTAAAAACCATAGCGCGTCACGCTTTATTATAATGTAATTATTTAATTGCGCGTTGTATTTCTTGGCATTAAGAGATATACATATATATATCTATGCGAAAGCGGAACGCCTGTTGTGTGGTTTATATCATTTGTATACTAATATAAAAAGAGGAAAGATTTGATTTGATTGTTTTGAAATTACTTGAAACTACCGGACCGATTTATAAAATTCTTTTACCTACGGAAAGCTACATCATATATGAGTGACATAGGCTATGATTTATTTATCCGAAAACTACGTTAGATGGAATCGCTGTCTCACAAATTTTGGAATCAATTTCCGGTTGGGCTTAGAAAATATTTTTCTAAAAGTGCTAAAATTCATTTGGGATGTTAATAATAATATATTGTTGTTTATATACGTTGTCTTTACATTATCTATGGGTCGAGTTGAAGTTATAGTTATTACTTTTCATATTTATTGAACAAATTGATTTGTTCAATGCCAGTTGTTTCCCAAGATTTCGGCCACGTAAGTTATGCCTATATCACCCTAGTATGAAGTAGCTAGTATATAGATTAATTTTCATGATCTGTAGAGTGATTCTGTAAAATCTAAGTCCCAATTCGAATTCACTCAGATGATTGAACTCACTTCGAAAGCGAATCCACTTATTCTTGAATTGGTATTCTCTGTTTCGTAGCACAAATGAAGGGAATGTACGAATCAATTAAGCTTGATTTGTATTTTTAAACAAAAAACGGCATCAAACAATATTCTACACAAATATATCTCATTGAAATATTATAATCTACATTATTCATTATAAAATCTTGAATTAGCGAGGTGATTTGTGGCCAAATAGCCATGACGCCCATGCCGTTTATAGATAAAATTAAGAAAATTGTGGCTGGGTTGATATATGTTTATTTTTTTGTAGTTTCACCGCTGCTGTATTTTTGGCGGAAATTCAAGATAGGAGTGCAATTTAATTTAATTCTCAAGAAATGTTAATGTTTCTAGTTAAGTTTTCAGTTTTCTTGATTTATCGGAAGAAATAAACGCGTAGTTAGTCTCTTGCTAACAGTAATAAGTCACTGACTTTTTAATGTAAAACAGTATGACTTAACGTGCCTCCCGAAGCACGGAGGGCCTTGAGGCAGTTGTAAATTTTTGGTTACCCATCCTATGATCGGCCCTTATAAAAATTGCTTAACATCCGTAGCGCTGGCCAAAATAGTATACTCAATATTTTATACATTATTTCTAACAGAAGATTTTAAACATTTACCTAACCTCGTAGGTAATTCATAATTCGCCTGAACATGTTTAAGCGTCGAAAATTGACGTCGACTGGTATTTTTATTTAAGGCATATGCTTCTTTTAAACTACTTAGAAAAAGAAATTAACAAGACTTTATCCAGTTTTAGAATATTTCACCGTAAATTCTATCAGTGCTTTGCAACTGTTTATTTGACAAGTGAATTCGAATATCGAGCGTCGAGATGACTATTGAGTTTCCATTGCGAATACCAATCTCTATGCATGTGATGTCAAAATCTCACTTATCTTAGTTCAATTCACTACGCGTCCGACAATAAGGCGCTAGCGGCGTTTTCGAGTTATACACACTATAAAATTTGAATCTCACTGCAGAATCAGCTTTTCGGTGTTCGAAATGTGTTTACATAATCGCATGGCAGATCTATATTACCGAGGATGTTCCTGGGTTTAATTCCCGCTCGGGTTAATATATAAAAAAAGGAGTTTTCTATATTGTCTCGGATCTAGGTGTTATCTCAGATACTCCATACTACGGGGGCTTTGTCATCTTGGACTGTATGTGATGTTTAATATTTGTATTTATTTATTTATTACACTAGATTTTCGTCGGTACCTTTACGAATATTTTAGTCAAATTGGTTAAAGCGTTCTCAAGTTTTGCGCTTAGCAACACATTATGCAATTCATTTATTTATACAATAGATTCAACACAGCTTGATAGCTTTTTTATTGTGACAGAAAAAACCGACACTATAAATTTTGATTTTTGACATATATTTTAGATTAAAAATTAGTTTTAGTGTCGTTTAATAAAATAGCTTTTAAAGAAGTCTAAGCTTGTGTAAAAGTATAATTTATAGTTTTTATTACATTTTAGATTTTTAATATCCCTTGCAAAATTATCAGGTAGTCACGTAGTTAAGCATCTTTTGATTATATAATAATACTAAAATGAAAAAAATATGTTTGTTTGTTTGCATTGACAAGGCTTCGAAACTAATGGACCATTAAAGAAATCTTTCTTCTTTCGAAGCCACATGTGTGGGACATACTCTATAATTTACACAAACAAAGTCACAGGAAAATAACTAGTTTTAAATAAACAAATGTCAAAACTCATTATAGAAGAATACTTCATTTTTGCAATAATTATCGAATCGTAATTCATAGCAAGTTATTATTATCGTATGGTGTAAAAACCTATTTTATTTATACAGAAACAAACGGTTTTTCAAGATAATAAATTCTTTCAAATGTCAATAATAATTTCAAGTTTCATTTTCCTCCAAAAACTTTTAGACTTAAACAATGTGCCTATAAAAAAAATAAACATCATTTGGTGATCTAATACGATTAGCGGCATCTAGTTTACAATTTGGAACTTCTACTGTGAGGTTTGTGCCTACGTGTATATGTATTTTTTTTTAAATCTACATTCTTATGAAATCTTTTTATTATTACATCACAGACATACTATTATTATAGACATATTACTTGTAATATTCCTATAGTATACTTACAAACATCTCCCACCCTATCCCGTCCCTTCCCTATCCCTTATGTGGACTAATGAAAAAGGTATAGAGACCTATGAACAAAATGGTACATACATTCGTTGTATCAAATTTTCGGGACTTTAAACGGTTTCAAAAAAGGAGATTATCAATTATTATCCTACTTTGATAAAAGGAGGTTACCAATTTGACCTTTAAATATTGTATTTATATAACAGTAGACATTCGCAAAGGCCAACTATAGGACCTCTTTATTTGTTCTGTGATAGGATGGGTGACCAATAATTTACTATTTCGGGTTTAATCAATCGACCACTGTGCCTGCGTGATATATAATGGCCCGTTCTGCCTATTATATTCTTTTCATAGTCATTAATCAGATTTATTACTCGGATCTGAAATTAAGTAGCTAGTTGTATGTCTGAAATAACGAAAGTACCATAACACTTAGATTTTATGCAATAAAGAAAAGTTAATTTTCTGCATTAATATGACCACGAATCGAATCCGGAACCACAGAGATAGAGACATTGAAACCTACCAGCATGCAAGCCACTTGACCATGTTACTACTATACCCACTGTAATCCAAGGTTGATGACTGATTTTGTCAATATATCTACTACTACTAATACCTTTAGAATAAGTTTGAGCACTGTTTTTCCTGTATAACGATTTTTTGAATCAACTCTTATCCGTCGTTAGATGTTTTATTTGACACACATAACCTTTGACTAAGTCAGTTTTTAAGACACACAGCGGAATCCTAAAACATGAAACGAAAACTGGTCGGGTTCAACGCACCACGCTCATTAGTTTTTGATCATGATCACGTACCACCGGAGAACAGAATGTGTTAAGTGATATCACGTAAACAAAAGAGACTCAACCTTAACGCCCAAAACATTGGGTAGGTTACCCAACGAGTGAGTGGTGTCAAGATTTTTTTTTTGTACTACAGGTACTCTGTAACTGGTTCTCTTCTTTTAGACCGTTGAAATGATAAAATTCCTTGGGTAGTATAGATTAAAAAACATCACCTGGCTATAAGTTTCGAACTTTATTGCGCTAGAGGCTGTCTAAGGTTGCATCTACTTTTTCAACGCCAAGTCGAATAGAAAGCTCATTAGTATGTGTTGCACACGCGCTCCGTGAGAGAATGTCGCGTTGAAGATGCTATTTGCATTGAATCGATTTGGGGAAATTTAATATTCTGTTCTCAAAACAATTGAGTGTTGCTCTGTGTGGTTTTGGCGATTTCGGACCCTTTGTTTGGTAATAGGTTTGAGTAACTGCAAATTTGTCGTGTGGTCAATGTTTCTATTAACATTCTGAATTCGTTATTGCCCATATTATTTGAATTTCTTATACAAGTAAGTTATAAAATAGAAAATAAAAGTATAATCAGTTCTGAGGAAAACATTTCAAAAATCTACTAGCTGTTTTCCCGCGATTTTACCCTCGTAAGGTATAGTCTATGTCAAATGATGTTTTCTAGTCCAGAAGCCTATTCAATGCAAATTAACAAAAAATAAGAAAGAAATATAAAAAAATGTGACACTGAAATTTGCGTTAAAAAGGATTCAAGTGTCAGTGTACTTTACGATCCTCACAATAACTTCAAAAGATTGCTCAGTAACTAAGTAAACAAACGTTCAAAACCATATCAAAAAGCATCGGGCAGAAAAGAAACCTAACCTATCGTAACACTGTGTCTATAACTTTTTAGAAATAACACTAGAAAAAAAAAAGACCGAGTTTGACTGACAGACTTTATTTTGCAACTCCAACCACTTCACTTAACGTATTTCAAACTGGCGGCTTCCTCGATCTCCGTTTCATTCCAGCCATTCTAAACAACCTGCTCTGGAACATGCAAAAATCTTAATCAGACGGCAAAATAATATACAGCCAAAGTCTGACAGATAAGACTATGATGTCACTAACAAAATATATTACAATTTTATCACAAGCAAAATATACAATGTTACTAGATCTTAAAAAGGAACAAAGTAATTACGAGTATAAACATAATTTAAATATTGACTATAAACATGTAATTTATGAAACATTGAAAAAATACCACACAATTTAATGTAAAAATGTTAAATGTATTGATCTTATCTCTCAGACTATGCGGCAGGGAGCTGGATATTGGCAATAAACAGAAACCATTTTAGCTGACTTCCTGCAACAAGCTGGAATCATTTCGCAAGTGGGCTGGTGAACGCAGTCAGGAATGGCATCATAAGGCACGTAACCTTCACACATCAACTTGCCCAAACACTTTGGTATCATTATACATGGCCTCTCATGTCGACATTCTATCTTACTTGATGGCTTCACTTGAGCCCCAACATTTTCAGTGCAAGTCTCTAAATATTTCTTGTCAGTAGTTTGTTGGCAAGCATATAGCTCAGGGCACTTAGGCTGATGATCGCATTCTTTAAAAATACTGTCTTCCAATAAACACTCTGGCATTTTAGGACAATTTGGTACATGAATACAAGAATCATTTAATTTAAGATCGAAATTCGGCTTATAGCAAGAAGGAACGAATTCGCATGGTGGATCATGATTACAAATACTTTGTGTTATCTTCTCTTTCATTTCCTTCGGAATCATTTGAAGATCATATTGATGATATTCCATCTTAGAAGATTGATATTGACATGCCTGGTCAGTAATTGGATTTTTGGTGATATAAGATTCAAGGTCATAACTTGTCTCCTGAGTGACCGGCCAGACCATCGGAGAATTCTGTGCTTTGACTGGTGGTAAATTTAGACAACCATTAATAAGAATACATGGAGGATTGTGTATACATAAAATTTCTCCTTTATACTTTTCTTGAAGAGTTGCTTTAATTTTATCATGTGGCTCTTGACATGGTCTGTTAACATCTCCACTGGTAGCAGGTGACTGAGGACTTCCGGAAGCAGATGCAGGTGTTGTTCCTGATCCTTTCGAATGGCATTTGCATTCAATTTTACTTGTATTAATGGCATTATCCTTTTTCGTTTGTTTAAATTTTGGGTCACTGGTATTTGTTGGTGTATTTGAAGTAGGTGATGATTTACATGGACAAGTTGCGCTGCTCTGATTTTGTGTACCGGAGTCTTTTACTGGCTGAGCACGAGTATTTTGATTAGCTACACTTGGACATTGCTGAGAATTTATACAATGACATGGTTTTAAAATACCACCTGGACTGTTGTTGTTGTTCTTGTGCTTTTTATTATTGATCTTGTCAACAAGATATTCCCAAAATACAGATGAATTTGATGGCATTACATCATAACCAAATTGATCGAACCGATTTTTTAAAGATTTGGCTTGTGTTGTTTGTGTGGTTGAGTAAAGATTAAAGTTATTTCTTGGGGGTGCCTGTTGTTCTTTATTACGTCTTACGTACTGTTTCTTTAAATAATAATTCTTTAATTCCTTTTCTACGGCTTGCTTCATTTTAGTTTTTGCTATCTCGAGACTCATTGGTGAATCACAACTATCAAATGAGTATTCGTCCAATTTATTTTCAAGAAGAGGTAAATTATGTGGTTTGAGCAGTACTGGGGTTTTTTCTACATCGTCGTCAGTAGAATTGGATTGGACAGAGAAATCCTGACCTGGTTCTTTCATCTTACGTTTTTTCTTATTATTTAGAAAGTACACTTGACAAAAATCATCTTTTGTTGTACTCTTATGGGATTTTTTTTCTAGTCGTTTAGTATTTGAACGACAGAATATGCTTGACAAGCATGGTATAATTTTGTCTCTCATCATTGCTAATTTAGATTGTGTGACCTGAATATTGGTAATATTTCCATCTATTTTATCACAAAATTTTCCGCTCTTTTTACTGGGGAAGGAATACTTTTGATCTGCCTGTACAGCACAATCTTTACATGTAGACTGACTGGTTTTATCAGTTTCATTTTGCCATAGATAATCGATTTTTCTAAGGTTATCTAATAGATACTTGTTTTCTTCACTTCTTGAATAGTACATTTCAGTCTCAATACAATCCATTTTTCTGTTTCTCAAACTGTTATCACCTAATATCATATAATAGTCAGTTTCATCAAATTCGCTGCTGTCTGTGTGATATTCTATGTAATCAGAATTATACGTGAACACATAGTCGTCAGAATCATAGTACATAATGTTAACATCATTATATTAATAAATGTTTTTGTAGTTACCTGTGTTCAACATAGTATATTATATTTCCTTAAGGGCATTTCATTTTTATATATATTTTTCTATTATTTTTAATGTTTCGTCCGCCAGTCAAAAGTACATTTTGTTGTAATTAATGAGATGTCATTTGATCAAGACGTACGCTGACAGAAAAAGTATTTTATTACTTCTTGATACACCAAAAAGGTTTGAGTAGTTTGTTTTATATAAATAAAAAACGCAAAATGTATTAATTACTTTCAGTAATTCGGTTACAAAACACGAGGTCAACGATTTTATTAATTATGTATTTATAATAAAAACACAAAATATATAAATTTAAATGTGTCATTTAAAATTTCACCGCGTGGCGTCCTGTTCAAGCGCATTGTTTAAGCGCAGCCGCCGTCAGGGTAATGCTCTGAAACAAAGAACGGGGTGAGTTCATATTATTATTAACGTTTAACACTGAATTAATATGCAGAGGTGATACGTCATGCTGGAAGCTTTGCGTTTACCGCTGGAGGGGGAAACTAGCGCGACTTAATTGGCTTGAGCTTTTTATTCAGTCTTTATTTAAAAAAATATGTAACTTTTAAATAATAAGCTCCTGTAAACATTGTATCATATTGAGTGCAATAAAGTATATTATTATTATTATTAAAAATCAAGTCAGTATTGTGAATGCAAAGTTTACATTTAATTATTATTTTTAAATATTATCGAAAATTATTTGGTAATTGAAACAGTTGTCGAGGCCATGTGATTAAAAATATATATTCAACAATCTTTATATCAAGATTAATACAATAGTTATTGTGAATCACATTTTCCTGCTTTTAGTATAAAAAAGTAAATTATTATGAATCACGCCTCATTTTAAAATTACATATTAGATACCTGCTTAGGCTTTGATCGAGTAAAATTGTTCCTTAAGTCAGCAATCAACCTACCAAATTATATTAAATAAGAATTTGATTTTGTAGTTTTTGTGTTTATCACTCTATTATATAAAAATATTATATGTAAATTACAATTAAAAATAATTAGGGTTCGATTGCTATGTTATGTCAGCGCTGTGCTTGAAATTGAGTTCGAATCTACTTTTATTAGAGAATAACAAAGCTGTTCAATTAAGTTTGATAAATAAATAACGATTTGAGCTTTAGTCTAATAATAAAACTTTGAGCTAGATTATAATTAATATTAAAAGGATCAAATCTCACTTATCAACTACATCAGCGCGTCACACTATAAAATAACAGGAATAGAATAAAAAAATAACCCAAGGTGAATGCCAGAGCACGTATACGTTTTAAAAATAATGAATCGAACGAAAGGGTTAGCATGTTAATGTAATAGGGGTTCAACCCCACATAATCATAGGTGATCTAACGCGGTCCGTATCTAAAACTTATTTTTTTGTTTTCCCTTTTTTAAATTAAAAACGGAACGGCGATTATGTTTCGACCAGTGTGTGTTACGAATGTCGCTTGAAAATATAGATTCGTGAATTCGACCTAGTTTTAAAATTAGAATGTCAGGATGATTCAAATTTATAACAATCTTTTAAATTATTGATTAGTAATAAAAAGTTTCCCAATTTTTATTCTTAACAGTTAAATGTGATATTAAATAAAATCTAACTATTTATCTAACCATTTGCTTGCAAATTAATATAGTCTGCTAATATTAATATTCAATAGCGATTTTGAGTTAAAAGATGTCAATACCAAATGAAATTGGAATATTCATTTATAATCTGCATGATCTGCTTTACTATTTTTACAAATACAGAGTCGGGCACGACATTGAATTCAGCGCTGTAATAGCATTAGAGGGTTAGTCAAATAAAACCTCTAGTAGCTTTTGCAGTAGGTTTTATATGATCCAGACTCAATACAATGACAGCAATGTGACAGCATAGTTTCTTACTTACTCAATATTGACAGCGTTACGTTCAACTCTGTATTTATAACAAACTCACTTTCGCCAGTGGCTTCGCCCGCGTGGATATAAAGTATTCTATTATCTAAGTCAGCTAATACCCTATCTGTATACCAAATTTCATCAAAATCCGTTCAGTAGTTTCGGCGTGATGGACGGACAAACATCCAAATATCCAAACAAAGAAACTTTCACATTTATAATATTAATAGGATAATAGGATAGCATTTCAGCTTAAATGAAACAGAGCCATCATGATATCTAAAAAGAATAATATTAAACTTAACAATTACTTAATTTTGTATTTAGCATCAGTACACATTATAAAAAACTTCATAACAAAATGTATTTCTCTGAATGTAGTTACAATAACAACCTCATTTCTAAACGATGAAAATATTTTACTGCTTATGAACCCAAAAGTCGTTTCGATAAGAAAAAAGCAAAATAAAGTCTCCTCTATTCAACTTTGCATCTTACAGCCTAAAAATAATGTTGAAAATGGCATCAGATGTTTTCAACGCACATGTGCATCGTAATAAGAAACTCATTACTAAAAATGGACCAGATTTTATACAATTGAACTTTTTGTGTGGACCCCCGCAGCGGCTTGCGTTGTCCTTCAAAACAGATCTTACAAACTAAAAAATGCTGTCTGAATAATAACGCTCTTTAAATTACAACCTTATGAGCTGTGTATTAAACTGTATTTTACACCTGAATTAATTGAGAGTAATTTAGTAATTGAGTCGGGTAAATAAATGTAGTTAATTATTTAGTTTTGAAATTGAAATACATAATAATGAAGGGCGGTTTGTTCACTTTTTACGTGTATTCATTTATATTATTAAGGTTGTGATCAAAATTTTAGGTTATAATGATTCCAAAAGATAAGTAATACTTAATGGTTTAAAATTTAGGTCATTATCGTGCACCAAATATGTAGTGGGAAATTGCTAAGTGGAATTTACTACTTTGGGTAAATAAACCAATAAAAATAATGTCATACTTAAACAAAATAATATTACGCTCTCGAAATAATAATCACGAGTAAATCCAGAAGCTCAAAACTCTAATACAAAATTAGAATCGTGGAACGTCAATCACAAAATTAATTTGATTGGTCGAATTCCCGCGAGATGCGCCGACGATCACAGAAACGGGGGAAATTGTTGGAAAATAAGAATGGTTTTTTAGTCAGCATGTGTGTTCTTTACCAGTATAAGTTGAGCTGATGCAATGTAGTAATACATCGCGAGTACATTTAAGATCGCGACGTTAGAGGTCCAGTTACGTTGGTCGGTTGCGTTGTGTATGGATAATCAATCCGAATTCGCGATTGATCGACGAAGGGCGATTTCGCTCGCATTCCCTCGTTTTGGGGTGAGATGGGATCATTTTGTGTGTCACACATGTGGGTGGGACTTATTCGGATTGTAGGTGAGTACAGATATGTATGGTATGCGTGTAGGTACCTACTTAAATGCCTATTCGATTTTAAGTAAGCAAGCACCTATTTCATATAATGTACTACATGTCAGTTGTTACAATAAATTAAGAAAAATGTTGAAAATAGCATTTATTTTAAATAAATTATAAGTATATCATATTTTAGCTAAATAAAATTGCTATTTGTAATCTATGGATTTGCAACAACCGAAATGCCGTGATGAATTAGTAATGTCACATTTCAGTAAACTAAACATGAACGTCTTTCAAAGTCAAAGTCAAAATAATCTTTTTTCGAATATACTTCTTAGAAGTACTTTTGAATAGTCCAACATTTTTTCCCTACCACTCAGTCAGGACATCTTTTGGGTGATAAAAAGAACGAGCAAGAAACTCACCAGCTCTAATTAGAGTAACAACATTCACAAAAGCATGTTATTACCAAATCAATACATTATTAATAGATAAAAAAAAACTATGATCTTATAATGATAACATAATAATTTAATAATGGATATAAGATAATAATGACCTATCCAGTTGCTGGATCATCTTGAGTCCAAGCATTCTTATCTGTTATATAATCAGATACCTTATAATAAGCTTTTTTAAAAAGTATTATGATTAACCCCTGAATGAATTATTATTTTTGCAGTCTCGTGATAAGCACCGTTAATTTATTTTTACTTCTAGTATTAAAATTGTGTACATCACTTTTTATAGAAAACAAACTAATATTTTTACAAACGTACATTAAGTTCTCGTATATGTATTAAGAAGCAACTGTCATTAAGTCTATTATATTAATTTGTTTCCTTAAAGGGTCCCTCCTTAATCCTAAGATTATAATAGTCGTCATGTCGACAGCATTTCCCCAGAAGATTGCGTACAACATCACACTATGAAAGCAACTGAAGTATACTAATCTGGCAGTATCTAAATATATCAGTTAACCTACGTATCTTCATTACAGCATATGCTGCAGAGCTAAGTCTATTCGACAATTTATCAAGATGTGGGCCTTACTAAAGTTTAGAACCTAGTGTTATACTTAAAAATAGCCAGAATGCCCATGTTCTTATCTTATTTATATTTATATCTACTTATTTAACATTAAATACAAATTCTAGGCATTTTGTTTTCCCTTTATTGCTGGTGCAACTAGTACTTACCTTTATTGAAAAATGACGTGAACTTACATATTTTTATTAGGCTTTTTTAGGTCGGTCTTATTTACGAAAATCTTTAGGGATTGCTTTGTGATTTTTTTCTATAGATAATATTTTGACTTAATATTTTGATAAGATAATATTATAAATTACCCTTTGAAATATGAAGTAAAAGTAAGCGTTAATAAAGGCAAAGGTACTTCTTCTTCTTTTTTTTTTATTAATGGCTTATCTGCACATTTCGCACAATTCTGCCAATATCAAGTGAATAAATTAATTTTTACATGTTTAATGAAAAGGAAATGCGATATAGGTATAAATCAAAACCTAAAGGCAAAGGTATTGCTTAGTAAAAAATCAATTGACACATAGTAATTTTTCTCTCATTGTCTTTGGATTAGGTTAGATTGTAACGGT